AGCGTGTCATGAGAGACGCCCATTGCGAGCCGTCTTCGGGACATTTCGGACAGGAGAAAACGTATGATCGAGTCGCGCGCGAATACTATTGGCCCGGAGTGTGGTATGACGTGAAAAGCTTTTTTGCAGAATGTATCGAATGTCAGAAGTATAAGGTTCAGCAACAAGCACCGAAAGGGTTAATGGGAAAGCGCGCGATCGAGCATCCGTGGACTGTAGTTGCGACCGACGTTGTGGAGTTGCCCCAGAGCAAGAATTGGTTTCGGTACATGGTAATTTTTCAGGATTTGTTTACGAAATGGATCGAGTTGAAACCCTTATGGTCGGCAGATGGGAAGGCCTTGGCTTGCGCTTTTGAGGAGCATATTCTTTTTAGATGGGAGATGCCGTACTACCTCATTAGCGATAATGCACAGGCTTATAAGAGCAAAATTTTTTAGGAAACATTGCAGGCATATGATGTGGAGCAAGTGCTCTGTCCCGCCTATCACCAGCAAAGCGACCCGGTGGAATGCGTGAACCGAACGTTAAAGACTATGATAGCAATTTTTGTTGAAAATGATCATCGTACGTGGGATCAACACCTCCATGAGTTTAGGCACGCGATCAATACCACGATACAATCGACGACGAGGGTTTCGCCTGCGTTTCTGAACTTCGGTCGCCATTCGAGGCCCGTGGAAAGCTTGCGCCGAGAGGTGATAAAGCGTGCACCCATCCTGAAGATGGATCCAGAAGTCTGGAAGGACCGTTTGCTACGATTGCACGCGTTGCGCGATTTGGTCGCGAAACATATCGAGGTGGCGCAAGAAAAGCAGAAGCGTAATTACGACAAAACTTGAAGGAGCACGATGTTCCAAGTTGACGACTTGGTGCTGCGGAAGTTGCATTCGCTTTCGAACGCGGCCGCGGGAAGAAATGCGAGGTTCGAACCCAAATTCGTTGATCCATACCGGGTACTGAAAGTCGTCTTCCCCGAGATTTATGAGTTGGACACCGATAATAAGCGCCAGGCCGCGATGGTGCATGTGTCTGAGTTGAAGAGATACACCCCAGCACTGTTAGAGTAAATAAGTTGGTGTGATCGTAAAGGCGTAAATGTAGTGTGGATGTGTATTTAGAGATGTTTGATCATGTATGGTGGTGAGTGGTTGTAGGGTAAATTGTATGTGTTTGTTACAGGTTGGAAATGGAGGACGAGGTGGCTCAGCTCGCCACTCTCACGGCGGGTGTCGTCGTGAGTGACGGTAAGTTGCCGGATCTGATTGACGAGAAGTCGTCGGGTTCGCTTCGGGAGCTGGTCGGTAACGGCGGGACTGAGAGCGATTCATCCACTTCAGTCTCGTCCGTGTCGACTGCACCATTAGTCATTCTCAAGGAGCCGACGAGGATGGAGATTGCGGAGATTCTTGAGCTCGGGGTAGAGGCCCGTGGAGCTACTTCGCCGGCCCTTCCTGAAAAGCTCGTGGCCCTTCGAGAGACCCGGTGGAGAAAGTGTGGAGGTAGCCCAGCTTTGAGCGAGCTTCGAACAGGGAAGCCGGAGATTCCAATACCTCCGCCCCTGTCCGAGGGCCCCAAGGTGTGTGGCGATGTCGACCGAGGCGTTAAACTACGTCTGCGCGCAGCGCCTCGTCCCACCTTGTTAAGGCTGAAGGCGCCTACGGCGACCTGGACGCAGGCCATTCAGAGGTGTAATTGATATTATTAGAACTCATCATTGTTAAGTATGTAGAAAGTACAAGAATGGAAGAGTAAGTTTGAGAAACCCAACCAATAAATAAATTCAAATCTTTTTCATGATAACGTTTCCTTGGCCTGGACACCGCCCTCTTCAGATCTTTATTAACAATACAAATAATTATTAAACTACATTTACAAACAAGGTCAATATATAATACATTCAAATTACAAACTAAATAAATTTTGAAAAATATCATGCTATACATAAATACCAGCAAAAACTATGAATATACATTCAATAAATGGCAGTCAAACAAAATAAGAACAAATTGAATTTACAATTAAAAAATAATTCATTATGATCACCCAAGAGAACGTATCGCCACTTTGTATTGCACTGAATATATCGCAAAGTATATACAAAACAGAGCAGCAATCAAGCAGAAAATTACTGAGACAGAGAAAACAGGCAAAACAGATAACAATGTTACCCACCTTTCCAATTTCTTCCCCATCTACATAGAACTAATTTACAGAATATTCATACATTCTTTGCTATTGTTTACTCAAGAAATTGGTATCTTCTTGCCTATTAATAGTATTCTTGCAAATCTTGCTAACGATGTTAAGTTTACCAAACAATTTTGTAAAAATAATCCTGAAGTGTTTTTCACTAAAGCTGATAAAGGGAATGTCACGGTTTATCTTAATAAAAATGAATACATCTCCGAAACGGAATTACTTTTTAGTGACCAGAACATTTATAGGGTTGTTAACAAGTGCCCTTTGAAAAAATTACAGTCATCTGTGTACAATATACTTAAGGACTTCAATGAAAATGGATATCTTGGCAATTTCAAATATAATAATGAAGGTTTATCACAAACACACATGTCATTAGCAAGAGCTTATGCTCTACCAAAGATCCACAAGCCTGACACACCGTTTCGTCCTATTGTCTCAACAGTTAATAGCCCTCTAAATTTTCTATCCAAATTGGTCACTAAATCAATTTTATCTTTCGGTATCGGGCCTACGTTTATATCTTCGCGCCATAGTGTTCGAGCGACCTCTACAGGACAGAAACGTCAACATTAAAGCCTCACGAATCTATTGGTTACTTACTGACACCTGCCGGACGTATAGTTCATGCGTAGCGTCTCTTTGTTTACAGTGCCTTTTTCGCGTTCGTCAGATTTTGATATTGTCAAAAATGACTGAAAAACAATATCGGAAAAACGAGTTCGGAAACAATTTAAATAATAAAAAAGGCCTTCGGAAGCGAGTATATGAGTAAAACACGAATAAAAGAGTGGTATAAGCAGTTGAAGGATGGTCACACTTCTGTCAATAGTGATTCTCGTTCCAACCGACCTTCGACGACAAAAAGCGTAGATAATATTGAGCGGGTGCAACTAGCAATCGAACAATATCGTCGTATGACTGTGCGAGAACTAGAGGAAGACCATCTGGAAATAATCAATAATGATGATAATGTGCTTAGAAAAGTTATTACAGGTGATGAATCATGAGTTTATGGTTATGATCCTAAAACAAAATAACAATTTTCACAGTGGAAGCATTCTGAATCGCCAAGACCAAAAAAAGCATGTCAAAGTCGGTGCAATGTTAAGTCAATGTTGATTGTTTTTTTCGATGGTGAAGGTGTTGTACATCACGAATATGCACCAACAGGTCAAACAATCAATAAAGAATACTACGCTCAAATTTTGAAACGTTTGCGTGATGCAGTAAGAAGAAAATGGCCGCACTTTTGGTAAAGGGGTGACTGGCTTCTCCATCACGATAATGCGCCAGCGCATTCATCCAATCTTGTGCAGCAGTTTTTGAGCAAACACAATATCGCATTGCTTCGACAACCTCCATACAGTCCCGACATAGCCTCTTGTAACTTTTGGCTGTTTCCAAAACTAAAAAAACCACTCAAAGGACACCGATTCGATGACAAAAGAACGGTTGAAAACAATGCGACGAGTGTACTTAAGGCTATCCCTAAAAGTGAGTTCCAGGACTGTTTTGAAAAGTGGAAATATCGATGGAACCGTGTTATTCAATCAAGTGGGGATTACTTTGAAGGATGCCACCCACCAGATGATAAAGAATAACGCTAGCACGAAAATATAAAGGTAGGCCCGATACTTTCCGGACAGACCTCGTATCTGTAATAGAAAACAGGATTTATTTGATATTCATTCCGCCATACGCTCAGGCAATGTTTCTCTAAGTCTTTCATAACCATATCAGCTAGTAAAGGAGAGATAGGTGAGCCCATCGGGCTTCCAAATATTTGTTTATAATAAATTTATAATTCTCAAATAATCTTTAAGTATCGATAAAATAGAATACTTTGCGCTTGATACTTGTTTATCACTATGGGTGTCACTATATGCGGCAATTTAAAATGCAGTTATCCCATAAATAATCTTAACAGTGAAATAAAATATCAAATATCTATAAACTAGCTGAAATATTAAAGAATTAAGTTTTATTATGTTACATTATAAAACATAACAAGTTTTCAACTACTGAATTCAGTTATTTATTACTAAAATCTTAATAAATTTTATAAATTTTTTAATACATATAAAATAAATTGATATTAGGAATACCTAGTTTATAAAAAGTTATATGAATTAGAAGGTATCATTAGTTCATGGAACAAGTACATAAATTATTGAACAATTTTCTTGATTTAAATTGAGCAGTATTTTTGTTTCTAATAAATAATAAAGTTAAGATAAAATGAAATGAAGATTGGATGACTTTTTTTTAACAATCCTCTATATATTTTGATTTTGAATAATTATTTGAAGGAAAAGAAAAAAAAATATTTTGTAAAAAGCATGGAATAGGATATCGGTTTGAAAATTTTCTTCACACTTCTTTTCCTCTGGTATAAGGTTTACTCAGACAAGGTCGATATAAGGACATCGTAAATTCGTATGTCTTAGTTGCTGACTCTGTGAGAGAGCTTTTAAAAAATCTTCTCACGAAATCGATCGGGAAAAGCAGGCGAAATTAATGAATGCTGCAAAAATCACAACTGCTTCGCGAATGCGCGCTAGACGCAAAATGAATCCGCCTGCATGAACATCAGTAAGAGCGGAGTGCACTACCTCCACGTGCCAAATATCAAATTTCCCTAACTCACGATGAGCCAAAGTTGGAAAATTAACGCTTTCGCGATGCAGTTTTTGTTAGCGATAGTCAGTCTAGCTAGAGCATCACTATTAAGTAGTACAACAACTTTTTTTCAATAATTTTTAATTATCATTAATTTATTCAATATTTTTTCTTAGGTTACAAGATATTTCGTACTAATGGATCCAGTCTGCAATACTTTTCAACTGGTACCTTAGAAATAGAAAAGCCTTTGCGACCAGAATATCCAGCTCCAGTGAGACATGGTTTTATTCCTGAAGAGTGGTTTACATTCTTTTATCCGAAAACTGGTGTAACGGGTAAGATTTTAATAACAGTCAAATATACGACTTGAAAAAACATATTTACTCCAATAGGTGAGCTATTAATCTTAAGTTACGTTCTGTTGACTTACCTGCAAAACTGCAGATTTTATTGACCACTCTATTAACTCATTGAAGTCCAAGCCAAAATTGAGTAAGATAGTTTCAAACTAACTATTGGAAACGAAGCATAGTGAAAAAGAAAACGTATTTATTCTTTTGCCATTTGCAATATGTTTATAAAAAATTATTTAAACACACTGCAAAAAAAGTCATTGTTTTGAAAAATTAATTGTACCAATTGATTTTATGGGACAAATTATCACGAAAATGTGTACTGCATTTTTTTAGCAGTCCGAAATTTGTTAGTGTAAATCGGCAACAAATAACCGAAAGCTAAGCAGTCAGTGTCCTCATGAAATCTCAAACAAAATCTACGCCCAACAGCATTAAAGTGACTGGTCTTATGTCTCACTTTTTGTGAGGTGGAAATTTCTAATCCTTTTCGGGCTGTGATTTCTCACTTTACCCGGGTAAGGAAAGATTGATATTGGCTAAAATACAGAAAAATTTGATGCGCTCGGTGCGGGTGCTTTTCTAATCCCTGAATCTAAATCAATTATTCTAGCGCCAATCTTTTCAGAAGGCACAGGGAATTATCAATTATAGATTCCACTCAGACCTATACAGATCCTAATGATCCAAGTTCTGAGCGTTAAACTATTGTATCAAGTCTATACAACTCGTTTTTCAACGAGAGGACCGAGTGGAATGCATAGTGGATGCAAATTTGGATAGGACTCAAAAATACCTTACGGAATATTCCGCAAGTTTTTACCCACATGACCATCTTTACCCAGTAGGTTACAACATCTCTTAGAATGGAGATTTTGTGACGAATCAGCCATGTCCACAGTAAGGATGCGAATACGTACTTGTAAAAACAATGGAAATAAAATAAGAAAATTAAAAGAAATGAAACAAGTAGGAAATACACCAACTATTCTGAAAAGGACTGTTGGAAATTGACCACCGATGTTCCGCACAAACCTGGAAAATTATCTCAATAACTATCCTGAGAAGGACCGTTACTGAGTTTCTACCGATGCTGAGTACCACCCAATATATTGGAAAAACGACTGCAGCAGAAAGTGATACCGATAATTAAAATGTTGTGTCCAAAAAGTACAAAAATTTATTATATATCTGATGGTGCCAAGCAACATTTTAAGAATAGAACTCAAATGATGCACATGGCCATCACAAGACTGATTTTCAAATTGATGCGGAATGGCACTGTTATGCAACGTCTCATGGTAAATGCATCTGTGATGGACTAGGTGCTTCTTTGAAGAATGAGGCAACCCGATATAGCTTACAAGCTGAACCAAAAAATGCTATATTAAATTCTATAACTCTCTTTAAATGGGCTAAGGAAAAGTTCAAGAACATACAATTTCTTTACTATACAAAAGAAGAACATAAGAGGTTATCTGATACATTAAAAAGAAAATTCCCCAACCCACCTGCTATAACCAAGATTCAAAGTAGCCATGCGTTTATTTCAAATACTGACAATAAATTGATAGTAAAACGCTACGCGGCTGCAAAAGATAATGTGGATATAATACAATATTAGAATTAACAACAATTGTACATGAATTGGACAATATCTTACACCATATCTAACCACTGAATTATTCCCAGTATAATTTAAAAACAGCTGTCCCCCGGGTACACATGTTTAACGCCTTGGGGTTATAATTTATTGAATTTTTAATGGCAAACAGTTTGCCTCATAGCTTGTATGGGTTATTTGGTTGTTGGCCTCACTAGTTTATTCTCATTATAATTTAAAAATTGCTGCCCCTGAGCACGCAGGTTCAATAGCTTGGGGTTAGTTTTCTTACATTTTTATTTATAAACAGCTTCTCCTGAGCTTGCGCGAGTTATCTGGTTGGTGTCTAGCGGTCCAAGTTACTTTTTCGATTTACTCAAAAAGGATCGCCTTTACTGAACAATCTTATATAATAAAAAGATCTTATAATTAGTCGTAGACTACGTATGAATTTTTGTAAAAGATCTTGGGAAGTTTTTTAATTTTTCAAACAATCCGATAAATCCAAAAAGCAAAAAATCGCTCAAAGGAATTCGAAAAAATTCACACTTGTGTTTTGATGAATTTCAAGCAATTTTGTTTAAATTTTTTTTCCAAAGTCATTTCCTTCTGAGTAAAAAAATCGCAAAGTTTTTTATTTTTGAAAATTTTCAAAAAATTATAACTTTTTTATTTTTCATTTTAGCGAAAATGGTCTCTGTTACTTTTTTGTAGGAAATGAGCCAGATTTTCATAAAAAAATATGAAATATTAATTTTTTTAACATTTATTACTAAAAATTTGAAAAATAAAATTTTTTGTTTACGAGTTTGTCTCTTGTAGCCGCCATATTGGAGCCGCCATGTTGGATTTTGCAAAGGCGCACACAGCATCAGAAAGTAGATATCCTAAGCTTTAAAACGAGCCGTTGTACGATTTTTTTGGTCACATCAAATTTTGGACACAGCAGTGATCCGGTTGACATGGATCGTCCCATATATATATATATATATATATATATATATATAACAATCTGAGTTATATTTAATTTTTAAATTTTATTTATTTACCGTATTTTCCGGTGTATAAGACGCACCTTTTTACCGTCAAACCTGACTCCAAAACCAGCCTGCGTCTTATACACCTAATGTAAGACATCCCAAATCTACTAACCTAACTAAAACGTGCGCCTGAATAGTAGCAATTAGACAACCCTCACTAACTATGAATATCTTTCAAAACTAGCCAATGACAGAGTGATTACTTATTTAATAAGTAAGTTCTTTATTATTTCAATAATATATAGTAAACGTACTTTATGTCTGAGGATGATAAAAAATACCTATTACCTATATGCCACTTGGGATCAAAAAACGTCGCATAATATACTAGATAATTAATACGAGTTTTTTTATAAAAACGGTATTTTTGTTGCATCGTTTATTTCAATATAATTTTGAAAGTGTTTTTTGAAGTAAGAGACTGACTTGAATTCCAATATGAGCGAAACTAACAAACGAAAATCGTACACAGCGGGCTACAAATTGAATGTGATCAAATTTGCTGAAGAACATGGCAATAGAACTGCCGAAGATCATTTCGGCCCACCACCGAAGGGAAAAAACTAAGGAAAAAAGGCTTTGGCGTTCGCAGAAGAGTAATTTGATTAAAATGCATAAATCAAAGCATGCGTAATGTGGTAAAAAAGCAAGTGGCTTATATTAGAGGATGAAGTTAAACAATTGATTGAAGATAATCGTTCCAAAGGCTTAGCTGTTTCAACGAAAATGATACGCATACATACGAGGTCTGTTCAAAAAGTAACGAGAATTTTTAAATTTCGCGGGTTTGGAGAGTCCGCTTGTATAAAATTTTTTTTTATTATGTTGGTACACATGCCCCTGAAGTACGATAAAATTTTCAGCAATATTCATTGCTTACTTTTTAAGTGGCAGCCGCTAACGTTAGACGTGTTTTTCGAGCTCGGCGATTTTCGTTTGTGAAAAAAAATGGATCAAAGAATTTGTATTAAATTTTGCGTAAAAAATGAAATAAAGTGTAGTAAAGTTTGTCAAATGTTAACAAAGGCATATAGTGAGTCTGCTATGAGTAAAGCAAGGATTTATGAGTGGTATAAGCGTTTCCAAGGTGGCCACGAAAACGTTGAAGATGACGAACGACCCGGACGCCCAAGCACATCAACAACCGATGAAAACGTGAAAAAAGTGAAAGAAATGGTTATGAACGATCGCCGAATCACAATCAGAGAAGTCGCTGATGATGTTGGCATATCAGTTGGCTCATGCCATCAAATTTTTTCGAATGTTTTGGGTATGAAACGTGTGGCAGCAAAATTCGTTCCAAAATTGTTGAATTTCGAACAAAAACAGCGGCGAATGGAAGTTGCTCAGGAGTCGCTAAATGAAGTCAATAACTATCCAGAACTACTAAAACGTGTTATAACAGGTGACGAAACATGGATTTACGGATATGATGTCGAAACTAAAGCTCAATCGTCCCAGTGGAGGCATTCTGGATCGCCAAGACCGAAAAAGTCTCGACAAGTACGGTCGAATGTGAAGGTTATGCTCACTGTGTTCTTCGATTTTAATGGCATAGTGCATTATGAATTCTTGCCAGAAGGTCAAACAATCAATAAGCAGTACTACCTACAAGTTCAACGTCGTTTGCGTGAAGCAATCCGAAAAAAACGCCCGGATTTGTGGCAAAACAATTCATGGCTTTTGCACCACGATAATGCGCCTGCTCACACTTCATTGCTTGTTCGTGAATTTTTGGCCAAAAACGAAACTGTAACGATGCCTCAGCCTCCATATTCGCCAGATATGGCTCCATGTGACTTTTTTCTATTTCCAAAAATAAAGAGAACATTAAAAGGCCGTCGTTTTACAAGCATAGATGACATTAAAAGCGAATCGCTGAAAGAGCTAAAAGCTATTACAAAGATCGAGTTTCAAAAGTGTTTCGAGGATTGGAAAAAGCGTTGGCATAAGTGTATTGTATCTGAAGGGGACTACTTTGAAGGCGACAACATTAATGTAGATGAATAAATAAATATTTTTTTCATAAAACGAAAATTCTCGTTATTTTTTTAACACACCTCGTACACAAAAAGTAGCTTTAAAAAGTCAAATAAATGATTTTAAAGGAAGTCCTTTATGATGTCACCGCTACATGAAACGCAATGGTTTAGCTATACGAGTGAAAACAAAAATTTGTCAAAAAATGCCAACATATTACGAAGACAAAATTCTCTCTTTTCACCGGAATATAATTCACCGTAGACAAGCAATGAGTTTTGAAATCGGACAGAAAGCAAATATGGATGAAACACCTATGAACTTCGATGTTCCGTCAACTAAAAGTGTTTCGAAAAAAG